TCATCTGAATGCTCTAATGAAAAATCAAAGTTACACATTGTTAAGCACAATATCACGACAACATTTCCGTTTCCCACCCTGTATTCATTCTTGTGTTCGTTTGGTCTTGGCCGTGTTTTCGCATTCGAGCTGGGACAAACGAGAGATATTTTTGTAGGTCAATTAATTAGATCGCCAGCATGTCGATAGACTGGAGTGGACGGAAGGTTGGGCGACCAATTTCACGGAAACCCATCAACTGCGGTTAAAAACGACAATGGAGATTTGGCATCAAGCCCGCATTCGAAAAAGATACCTGTCCAGTTCGAAATACTGAAAATAGTAAAAGTTGTTTGCATGAACATTCACGAATTCCTGTGATTGATGATAAAACTTTGCTTGGGGGCTGAACGGAAACAAAACAAATATGATGTATTGTATGGCACTGTTCCAATTGAATGGTAGACTAGACGATTTTCCTTTAGTTATCCTTCAAAGCAGTTCCCCTAAGATATAATACACTTGTGCCGGCGCTTTTTCCAATCCACGAAACAGTTCTGATATGCAATTTTTGGTATGTCATTGAGCTCGCTCAGCGACTCGATTTTCATCTCCTCAATCGGCACAAAACGTCGTCCTTTAATGGATCTCTTCAATCTTGTGAAAACGAAAAAGTCGCAGGGAGGCAGACCTGGTGAATACGGTGGCCGAGGCATGATTTTTTTGGCCAAAAAATTACGAACGAACAATGGCGAGTGAGCAGGTGCATTTTCGTGATGCAAAAACCATTAATTATTTTTCCACATTACCGAACGTTTTCTTCGTATTGCTTCTTGCAAGCGTAGCATAAATTCAAGATAATACTCCTTATTGACCGTACCACTATGTGGCAAGAACTCCTGATGCACTACGCTACAGTAATAGAAGAAAATATTGAGCAAAACCATGACATTTGATCGAACTTGGCATCCTCTTTTTGTCTTGGCTCTCTTGGACTTTAAGCAAATCTAGATCGCTGTTGAAGTCATTCAACATGCGACGGTTTTTTGGTCAAAATTCCGCAATTTTGGAACGAACATCGCTGCTACACGCTTCATGTCCAAAATTCACGAAAAAATTGCATGGATGAGCTTACCGATATGCCGACATCCTCAGCAACTTCTTTAGCATAACAATTTTATCCACTTTCTCAACTAGGAATTCTAGGTCTTCTAACTGGAACCACAAATGTGCGGTTGGCTTCTGTTGTTGACTCCGTGCGTATGTATTGTTTCCTGCTTTCGGCAAACAAGTGTTGCCCATCTTTACACTTGGCTGCACCGCGCTGATGAGGCCAATAGCCAGAAACACGTGTCCGCGGTTTGCCC